GGCAACACTGAGGGTTGCCATCCGTTGCCGGACACGGAAAAAGACAAAAAAGAAAAAAAAAATGGTTCAAACAAATGTATTAGTTAAGAAGAGAGGAGCCCATGAGTATAGAATGAGAAAAGTATTTTGAGGACTAGTCAGGAAGGGTAGTGTAAAGCTTAGAGATGTTGGTTCCACCCAGTTAAGAGGAGGAAAGGGGAGAGGGAAATTAGAACAGTTTGTGCAAAGGGAAGGGGAGTATGACACATGCTGCAATAGAAATGTTATCTGGAATTTGGGGAATTATTTGTAGGGACTGATTCCCATAAGTTGGGAAGACAGGGCTACGTTATGTTCAGGCCTAGTTATAACTCTCTCCGATAGGTGATGAGGAGCCATCCTAAGGGATTTAGTGAAAAATATGTTTGAGGAAAATTAATGTTAATATATTAAATGGATCAGGATGAGAAAAACTGGAAGCAGAAAAATCAGGAGAGCATATTGTCCTGGAAAACCAAGGAGCAGTTTCAGGAAAAGGAGAAGGAAAGGTTTACGAAGGGCTTTGTGGCAGCCAGCTTCTACTATGGTCTGCAGTGATCTCTGCCTCCTGGCATTCACGTTCTTGTATAGTCTCCTCTCATGTTGTTGCAGGATTGGACTGTGTAACCGATACAATAGGACAGAAGTGTTAGCACATCTTTTCCAAGATTAGGTTATCTAAAGTTCTGTGACTTCCTGCCCCCTCTCTCCCTGCCTCCCAATCTAGGGAAAGCTAGCTGCCATATTGTGAGCAGCCCTGTGGAGAGGCCCATATGGCAAGGATCTGAGGCCTTCAAATAAGTGAGTTTGGAAGTACATTTTCTAGCAATCAAGCCTTGAGGTGACTGTAGCCCTGGCCAACAGCTTGACTTCAACTTAAGGAGAGAACCTGAGTCAGAAGCATATCTTCCTTTCTTTTTTTTTTAAATGTACATTTTTTTACGTTGTAGTTTACAAATATACAAAATAGAAGTTTGCTTAAATTTACATTGTATATTTATTAAGGCAGGGAATTATATAGAAAAAAACATTCGTTTTGCTTAAGGTATACTTGGGAGTAACCATTGTACAAATTATTGTATATCTGAAACCACAGTACAAAAGACTGTATAAAAATGTTAAAGAAGTAAACCAGGTGTATTTACCTGACTTAGGTTGTAAATGCAGATCAGAAGACAAAAATAGATTTTCCTTGTCCAATTTCTCCTGATCCCAATATCTTTGAGAAATAAGAAGTGCTGTTGTTTTAAGCTGTTGAGTTTTAGGGTATTTTGTTATGTAACAATAGATAACTAATTCAAGCATCAAGGGTGAAAATCAATATTGGGGCCACAGAGAATGTGATAAAGAGACAGAAGCAGTAGTTTGAGAATGAAAAGGAAAGAGAAGAATAAAGTAGTATCTTGAAAAGAAAAAGATCAAATAAAAGATAAAATTTGAAGTTGGTAGAAAGTACACATAGAGGAAATGTGAGTTTGGTTCTGTGTCATATTGATGAATTATAAGTGGTGGAAATTAACATTGTGTTATAATTTAGGACCCTTGCCATAACAGCTCCCCTTCTCAGAGTAAGGGCATGTCTTATCCGTTGTACCTCCACAGTTCCTTGTGTATTGTAACTATTATAACAATTTGTTGAATGAATGAGAACTCTAGTATCTGTTCCAGCTATTTATTGCTATGTAACAAACCTCAAAAGTCAGAGCCTTACAACAGTGATTTATTATGATTTTTCATAGTTCTGTGGGATGACTGTGCTCAGGTGGGTGGTTCTCACTTGGGGTCTTTCATGTGGTTGCAGTCAGATGTTCGCTAGAGTCAGCTCAATGCTCGGTTGGGTTGGGCATTTGGCCTGGCTCACTCATGACTGGCAGTGATTCTGACTGTTGGCTGGAAAGTCAGCTGGGGCTGTCAAACAGGATGCTTTCACATGTCCTCTGCATGTGTCTTGGGCTTCTGGCAGCATAGTGGCTGGGTTGCCAAACAAAGTATCCTGAGAGTGAGTATTCTGAGAGACAGGAATTAGAAGCTGTTGGTTTCATAAAGGCCTGGGCCCTGAAACTGGCACAGTTTCATAGTAGTGACAGAGCCTGCCAAGATTCAGTGAGAGAGAACATTCCACCTCTTGTTGGGAGGAGTGTCAAAGCATTTGTGGCTGACTTTAATTTGTAGTGGCACCTTTGTGCCATTCTGCTCACCACACAGTAAGTAAAAGAAACTGAAGCTAAAAAGGGTCCACAGGAAGTACTAAAAATGGACCAAGATGTTGGCAGGGCTGCTAAGTGAGGTCACATATGGTGAAGCCATTTCTGCAAAGCACCAAAACATGAAGAGCAGGCAAATAATGAACCCAAATTTGTTCACCAAGCTCTAACAGAACGCCAGTGAGTCATGCTGGAGAACCAGAGAAGGATAAGTTTAGGACAAATGAGAGAAGAAGTCCTCTTTCCCATAGTGGGAAATAACATTATAAAATACATCATATTTTTTTTTAAGTTTAAATAAATCTACAAATGAAAAGTCAATAATGAATTAAGAGGACTTTTTTTTTTTTTATGTGGAAAAGCAATGGCCTAGGAGTGCAGTCAGACTGATTTCTAATTCTAGCTCTGCTGGCTGACCTTAGAGCTGTTACTTAACCCATGTGGGCCTTAGTTTCTCCTATGAAAAGTGAAGGGTTGACTTAGATGATCATTAAGCTTCCTTCCAGCTGTTTGTAGAACAGGACACTACTGTTATATATCCCCTGCAGTCACTTTCAGAGACATTATAAAGGTCTGTTTATGACAGTCACTTATGTGGAGAATTATTGTTGGTGAAGAGGGATAAAGTAACAAGAAAAGTTGTATTTATCATTGTACCATTTGTCTTTTCACCTGTCAGCACTGTTATGAGAACTGTCTATTCATTCAACCAGTATTTACTTAATAGGCACTCTGCTGGGGCATTGGTAATATAGCAGTAAACGGAATAGACTAAAGTCCCTGCCCTTGTGGAGTTTCTGTTCTAGCTGGGAGAAGACAGATAATAAACAAATAAGTAAATGTATTGTATGCCAGATGATGATCAGTGCATAGAGAAAAGTAGATCAGGATAAAGGAATATGGAGTAGCTAAAAGGTGGTGGGAGGGGAGTTGCCAACCGAGGTGGCATTTGAATGGAGACCTGAGAGAAGTGAGGGAGCTAGCCATGAAGTTGTCCAAAGCAGGAATTCCAGGCAGTACAAAATCTCTAAGGCATGACCTGAAAGCAAAAGGAATAAAGTAGAAGATGAACTAAGAGAGGTAGTAGGGAGTCAGATCTTGCTTGTCCTTTTTGGTGAAACAATACTTTCATTTAAAGCCCCAAACTCACCAACACTTAATATGAGACCACCATTGTGAATGAAATCTTAGCTGAAAATATACCTGTTTATCATTCTGTCTAGTACTGACTCAGGTTCATTTATGGTAGCACTTCATTTAAATAAAAACTTGATTGGCATTTTTTCCCTTTTCTGAAGGTTTTTTTTCAGTATCATATCTGTGTGGGCCCTTTTACATATGATGGGATATCAAAAAGTTTATGGAAAAATGGAATTAAAAGATAAAAATAAAAATTTAAACTTTATTTTTGAAACATAAGCTCCATCAAGTTCAGGACACTTGTAAGTGATGATACCAGCCATTTAGTCCATCCCTAAAGAACTCAGAGTTCCTGGAAATTTAATCATGTCAATACAGTCTTTTTTTACATTATTAACTAAAGAAATATGTGTGCCCTCTAAAGATTTTTTAAGATTATGAAACAAAAAGAAGTCAGAAGGAGCCCAATCAGGACCACATGGTGGATGCCTAATGATTTCCCATCGAAACTGTTGCAAAATTGCCCTTGTTTGATGAGGGAATGAGCAGGAACGTTGTCATGGTGGAGAAGGACTCTCTGTTGAAGTTTTCTGGGCATTTTTCTGCTAAAGCTTAGGCTAACTTTCTTAAAACACTCTCATAATAAGCAGATGTTGTAATTCTTTGGCTCTCCAGCAAGTCAACAAGTGAAATGCCTTGAGCATCTCAAAAAACTGCTTCCATGACCTTTGCTCTTGCCTGGTCTGCTTTGGCTGTGACTGGACCACTTCCACTTCTTGGAAGCCATTACTTTGATCATGGGTTTTTTTCAGGATTGTACTGGTAAAGCCATGTTTCATCTCCTGTTGCAATTCTTTGAAGAAATGCTTCAAGATCTTGATCCCACTTGTTTGAATTTCCATTGAGAGCTGTGCGGTTGTCTGCAGCTGATCTGGACACAACAGTTTTGGCACCCATCAAATGGAAAGTTTCCTCAACTGTGATTTTTCAGTCAGAGTTGTGTAACTGAACCAGCTGAGATGTCTGTGATATTGGCTGTTGTTTCTGCTGTTAATCACCAGTCCTTTTCAATTAATGTACAAACAAGATTACTTTTTTCCCTTGTGAATTGATGTGGATGGTCTGCTGCTGTGAGCTTCAGCTTCAACATCATCTCATCCCTTCTTAAAATGAGTTACCCATTTGTAAACTGCTGATTTCTTTGGGGCATTGTACCCATAAACTTTTCATAAAGTATTAATGATTTCATCATTCTTCTACCCAAGCTGCACCATATTGTTTATTCTTGCTTCAATTTTAGCAGGCTTCATGTTGCTCTGATAGAGGCTCTTTTCAAACTGATGTTTTATTCTTCTTAGTGGATCAAACTAGATCCTGTTCAGACATGTTATAACAAGTTAGTATGAGTTTATTTTGGTGCAAAAAAAAATTTGCAATCCATGGATAGTTTTTTTGTAGCACACATTTTCCATGAACTTTTTGAAGGCCCCCTTGTACAATCCCTTTGGAAAAGGAATGCAGCCTAAAAATAGGTGAACTGAGTTTCTCGGGGGGGGGGGGGGGCCCCAAAAA